CCAGAGGTGAGCAGGAAGGGACAGTGGCGGCTCCTGAACCAGGTGGGCTGGTGCAGCCAGTGGGTGCCGGCAGAGAGAGCTGCAGGCACTTAGCCCCTGGCTCGCTGGTCCTGGTTCTGAAGTCCAGGTTTCAGTCTCCTCAGGCCCCTGCTCAGCCAGTGCCCTGCCCGACGTGTGAACGAGGTTGGCTGGGGGAGTCCAGAGGGGACGCGCGGCGTGGATCCCAGGACCCCCTGGAATCCTCCCGTGCGCACCGATGTTTTAAGAAATAGAAATGTGGGACGGCGAAGGAGTCGGGCCGTGGGAGGGTCCAGCGCCAGGGAGGCCCGGCCTTGTTGCCCGTGGGTGCCACAGAGTCCCTGGGCCCAGAAGAGTCCCCTGCAGGTGGGACACAGGCTGCCCTCTCTGGGGACCACCCCACCCCAAAAGGGACTGCCTGCACTGGGGTCTCGCCTCTGTGACCAAAGTCCTCCCAGCTCCATGTGGCCCCTGAGCACCACTGGACGGGAGGAGGACCCGGCCACCAGCCCCTCTGCCTGTCCCCTCTGGTGGGACCCCCTAGCCCCGCTGAGCCCTCGTGCCGCTCTGGCCTTGCTGGGCTCAGGCCCCTTCCTCCTGCGGGCGGGCGAGCGGCCGCCGCGCCCTCCACAAAGCGGCCCTGTTCCCGGCCAGCTCCCAGACCCAGCGGCATTTTTTTCAGATGATTCAGCAGCGCGTGAGCGGGCAGGGCTGGAGCCCGCGCCTTCGGGAGTGTGACCAAGGCCTCTGGCACGAGCTCCTGCCCGTGGGGAGCAGGGGGCGGGGCGGCTGGGCAGGGGCCGGGGGTCGGGCCAGCTCCCTGCACTGCGGCTGCCCCCCTCCCCAGGGAGCCCGGGCAGATGGACAGGAAGTGGTGCCGGGAGAGCTGGTCTCCATGGAGACAGGCATCCAGCAGACCAGCTCACGTGTGCGCCGGAATCCAGAGCTGGTCAGTCTCGGTGCCAGGCACCAGGGCCCCCCTCCCATCCCCCAAATGTCTGCTGCCCTCAGCTGCCTTCGGGGACACTGATGCAGCCTGAGTCCTGTCCTCCCCACCCCCGGAGCTGAGAGGCCTGTATCTGGCCACCTTGGGGTCTGGCTCAGCCCCCAGAGTCCCGTGGTTGGCTTCTGGGGTGCGGGTGGGGTTAGGGGGAGCTGGGCCGGGCCAGTTCTCTGCAGACGCAGGGCTGGTTTCAGTTACTCAGCAGCCCCCCTCCTCCCCCCCGCTCCTCCCTGAAAGGAGGAAGCTTGGGGACCTCAGCCCCGCCGCTGACCCAGAGGATGGAGGGTGGGGGAGAAACCCACAGGGGAAGGGGTGCTCCGGGGGGGGGGGGCACTGAGCCAGGCTGACAGTGCAGCCTGTAACCCCCGCTGGCTGCAGGGGCACTAGGTGTGGCCGGAAGCCGCATCAGCATCTGGGGCTTTGGCCCCCCTCTCTGCCCCCGATGCCGGGAGAAGGCTGAGCTCCACACGAGGGTGGGCATGGGCCGCTTTCGGGGGCCCACCCTGGTCTGGGCTCTGGCATAATGTAGGGTGTGCGTATGGACGTGGTGGACCACTGTGCTTTCTCGACTCGGCTGCAGGCACGTCCTGCTGGGGCCTTGGGCAGCTTCACCCCAAATCTAAGTAAAGGGGCCTGTGCCGGATCAGACACAGTGTGACCCCCTGCCCCGGCCATCCCAGGAGCCCCTGCAGCAGCCACTGGCAGTGGGGGTGCTGGGAGTGCAGAGGGTCCTGAGGGCAGGGCTGCGAAGGGGCAGGTGGCAGTGCTGGGGGGCGGGTGGTGGACGGGGGGGCAGACCGGGGTGCTGACGCGTTGGCCTGGAGTGTCCTGACTGATTTGGGGTACCCTGGTCACAGCTCAGTCTGAGGGGTGCAGCTGAGGTGGGGATTTGCCCGTCACCCTCACCCCGGCAGCGTGGAGCACTGTGACCTCCCCCAGGAGCGCCCCATGCCCTGGCTCTCTGCACAGATCCCCTCCCAGCCGCAGGCCTGTCCCCTGAGGCACCTGAGCCGGTCCAGCGGGCTCCCCACGGAGCCAGTGCTCCCGGCTGACATTCTCCCTCACCCAGGTGGCCCTGGGCGCTCAGGACAGAGGCGGGAATGCTGTGGTCACGTACGAGCCTACCCGGCCCCAGGTGGGCGCTCACCGCTGCCCCTGAAGGCTCCGTGGGAACCCGGCGTGTCTGGGCCCCTCACTTCCCCAGAGAAGCAGGGGGCACTGCGGCGGTCGGTGGATGTGGGGGGGGCAGCGGCCGAGGCAGCCTGGGAAAGCCCGGGGACAGCAGGAACAGTGGGGGACTGTCTGTCTGTCCCCACCTGAAAGCCTGTGTCTGGGGTTGCTGCCTAGGACCTCACTCCTGCCCCAGCGCTGCTTACCTGCTCCTGGGGAGGGGCCTGGGGTGCCCTCGCTGAAGGCTCTTGCTCAGGGTGAGGACCAGGCCAAGTGTCCCTCGCTCTCCCCTGGATGTGTGGCAAAGGGCTGAAAGGACACAGGGAGCCAGCCCTGATTTCGGGGTTCCTGACAGAGAGGGTTCTGCAGACCCTGCTGCAGTTTCCTGGGCCCGGGTGCGGCCAGCTCGGGGCAGAGCCCACGAAGCTCTCCGCAGCCTCCAAGTGGCCTCCCCCGAGAGTGCTCCCTGCTCAGCCCGGGCCCACCTGGAGCTCCCCGCATACACATCTCGGTGCAGGAAATGGTTTGGGGATGTGTTTTTGCTTTAAAAGCTTTATTGGGGCTGGAGCCATAGCACAGCGGGGAGGGCATTTGCCTTGCACGCAGCCGACCTGGGTTCGGTCCCCAGCATCCCATATGATCCCCCGAGCACCACCAGGAGTAATTCCTGAGTGCAGAGCCAGGAGGAACCCCTGAGCATCACCAGGTGTGACCCAAAAAGCTAAGTAAAATTATTTTTTTTAAAGTTCTGGGGCTCCCAGGACCAACCCCAGAAATCCCGGGTGGGGGTGGCGGGTGTCTGTAGTTCCAGGGCTCGAACTCAGGCCCTTGCAGCTTTCTCCCCTGCCCCGTGGCCCTGGCATTTGTGGTGCCAGGGGGAGAACCCGGAGCCTGCCCCGGGCCCCGCGCGAGGGGAGCACTTTCTCCCCCGAGCTGTGTCCTGTCCCCGCTCCGTTCCTTATGTGCCCACCCAGCAGTACCCAGTGGCCCCCACGGGGAGGCCCCATAGTGCCTGGGTCCACCTCAGGGCCTACATGCGCTCAGCTGCAGACCCCCTCAGGCTGCGCTCCTGGGGAGGTTCCGCTTCTCGCACCCACCTGTGCCCAGGCACGGCTGCTTCTCGCCCTGTCTCCCCACAACAGCCCCAAGTCACCCTGCCTGTGTCCCTGCTCTTCACTCGCAAACCCCACGGAGTCCCCCCAGCACTGCTGTCCCTTAGTGGGAGCTTGTGGTCCTGGGTGTGCCCCACCCTGTCCCGGTACCCCCCGGGCCCTGCGGGCCCCACCTGTCTCTTCCCAAAGGTCCCTTCTGCATGAGCTCCCGGGGCCTCAGCCCAGATCGTCCGTTGCCGAAGCTTGGCTGTGGCCCCAGCACAGCACCCAGGCTCCTGCCTACCCGTATACTTGGGCACAGCTGCTGGCCTGAGGCAGGAAGCAGGCGACTGAAGCCCTCAGAAGGGGTTTGGCCATGCAGGAAGACGCGCCCCAGGCCAGGGTTCTCGGCAGACCATGAGCACTGTCCCCGCGGCAAATGCACCTCTGATCTCAGCAGGGACCTGAGCAGATAGGGGTCCCCTCTGATCTCGGGCAGGGCCCTGAGTGGACAGGTGTCCCCTCTGATGCTCGGGCAGGGCCGTAAGTGGACAGGTGTTAACAGCTGAATGGGCGAGAGATACGGCCTCGGCCCTCGCAGCAGGAGGAAGGGGTCTCCTGTGGGTGGAGGGTGTCTCTTGTCGGGGGGAGAGGGGTTTCCTGCCGGGGGAGGGGTCCCCTGTGGGAGGGGTTCCTTGCCGGAGGAGGGTTTCTCCTGTGGGGTGAGGGGTCTCCTGTGGGGGGTGGGGGTCCCCAGAGGGAGGAGGGGTCTCCTGCGGGGGCTGGAGCGGGCTGTTCTCACTGCCCTTGAGGGGTAAGTGGAAACTCGGGGCAGGGAGGGGAAGCTGGAGTCCAGCAGGAATATCCCGGCACTTCCTCGGGGTGTGGCCAGCTGCTGGGATGGCAAAGGGCTAAGACAGGTCAGTGGGCAGGTGCCACGGAAGTTGTTAGAGCTGGGGGGTCGTGGGGGCGCGGGGGCCCTGGAAACAGTGGCATGTTGGCCACGGCCTCACAGCCCTTGGGGGCACCTCCTCACAGGATTACTCGGACCAGCACTGGCAACGAGAGGGGGCGGCCTGGGCGAGCTGGGGGCAGGGGAACCTTCTGGGGGCCGGGCCGGGGGCGGGGGTCCATGTCCCAAGGTCTCTCGGAGCTGACCTATGGAACAGCCCACACCAGAACCCACAACTGTGCCTGACCCCATGTCCCATGCCTAACCGGCCCCGCATGGCTCACGGACAGCCACACCTGGAGCCGTCAGTGTTGGCCGGCCGGGAACGGGAGGCAGCGCCCAGAGCAGCCCCCACCCAGCCTCCAGCTCAGGCCCTGCCCAGGCCCATCTCCCTTTGTCTGGCCTCTTTCCTCAGGCCGACCCTTATGCTGGCCACACCTGAGACTGCCCCAGCCCCCGCTGTGTGACCTGCTGCTGGTGTCGGCACTTTCCGGGGACACTTCGGGGCAGGGGCCAGCAGGGCGTTCGGCTGACCCGTCCCACCTGCCCAGAGGCGCGGCCTCTGCCACTCTCAGGCCCTTTGCTGTTGGTTCCCCACCCCCCGCCTCCTCTCCAACCCTGTCGGAGATTCGGGGACTGAAGCCCAGGCACCCGGGGCTCAGCCCCTCCAGCTCCAGTGCAGCCCCGTGTCCCCTCTGCCGCCCCGTCCCGTGCCCTCGGCCTCCTGCGGGAGTGACGCCCACTCAGGCCGGTCTGTATTCCCCAGTGATCCGGGCCAAGGTGGTCAGCGGGAAGGAGGTGGACTCCGGGAATGACATCTATGGCAACCCCATCAAGAGGACCCAGTACGAGATCAAGCAGATCAAGGTAGGGGTCGCGCGGGGCATCCGGGGGCGGGGGGTGGACGCAGGCCAGGCCCTCCCGTGGCCTTCCACTGTGAGTGCCCCGAGTCCCAAGGCAGGGGCGGGGTCCTGCCGTGTTCTGGAGCCGCTGCCTTCATCCCAATGGCTACTAAGCCACTGAGAGCTCGGCTCACTGCCCTGCTGTGGAACATTCCAACACGGCCTCTCCCAGGCCCTCGGAGAGAACTCTGCTCAGTCTCACAGCCTGCTCTGCAGTGGGCACTGTTGGGGTTTCGTCAGGGAGACGGGAAGTCCCAGTTGAGTGTCCGGCGACTGCCCAAGCCCCATAGCCCCTCACTGACCCCACTCTCCATGGCTCTTCCCTCCTCCCCAGATGTTCAAAGGCCCCGACAAGGACATCGAGTTCATCTACACGGCCCCCTCGTCGTCGGTGTGCGGGGTGAAGCTGGACGTCGGTGGGAAGAAGGAGTACCTTATCGCAGGTGTGTGAGGTGCCCATGGGAGGGGGGCTGGAAGCTTCTGGAAGCAGCTCTGTACATCTGTCTCTGGGCTCGGGCACAGGAGGGGGGAGTTTAAAGGTGGGGACCCAGTTTGACACCCCGACGTCGGAGTAGGCCAGCTGGGTTAGGCGCCACCTTCCCAGGAGGGTCTCGGGGGTTCCAGGCAGGGGTATGGCCCTGGACTGGGCATGGGGTGGGCAGAAGCTGTTGTTCATCCATGACGTTGTGATCATCAGGGCTGGAGCGATAGCACAGCGGGGAGGGCATTTGCCTTGTATGCGGCCGACCCAGGTTCGATTCCCAGCATCCCATATGGTCCCCTGAGCACCACCAGGAGTGATTCCTGAGTGCAGAGCCAGGAGTGACCCCTGAGCATCGCTGGGTGTGACCCAAAAAGCAAAAAGCAAAAATAAAAGTTGTGATCATCCTTTCAAATATGAACTAGAGTCTGGCAGGATAAATTATTCAGTGTGGGACTTTGTTTCATTAAGATTTTTCACTATGTGCTACCACTGACCTCTGGCTCAGAGGGTCCCATTTTGTATAAATTTTAGGGATGTTCCTTTGCATGGAATTTCCTTCTTTGATCTTGTTGCTTCCATTATTTTTTTTTAATTTTACTGTAGGAATATTGCTATTTATTCAGCCATTGATTAGGCTGATTGAATTGGGCATGAACTCCACCTGCTTCCATTATTTTTATCACCATCTCTGGTTTTCATTTTTCTGATCAGGATATGTGTGAGAGTCTTTTTTATTTGGGTCTCTTTTAGGTGGTGCCCTTTGGTCTTCAAAGACCCGAGTCTTTGCCTTTTGCTCCGACAAACTGGGATATGGCGTGGGGGCTCTGGGTCCCGCCATCCGGCTTGGGGCCCCGGCTCCCACATGGAGCCCCTCACTCAGCCTCTGCTCTGACCTGAAGCCCAGAGCTGATTGCTGTGGCCCCCGCTCTCCACCTGGGGCCTCTGTCTGGGCCACTCTGGTTCCCTGAGAACGCAGAGGTAGTGGAGGGGGACCGCCGTCGGGGGGCGCATACACGGAGATTCCTTGGTGGCCAACACGTCCATGCAGCGAGAGCTGCGCATGCCCCGCCATACCTCCCCTCTGCACAGCGACTTCCTGTTTGAAATGCAGGGCTGGCCTGCCTGGGGCAGCCCCCTGATGTGAATGTGTCTGCGGACCTCCCTCCCGAGGGGGTTCACCTGCAGCGGGGGGGTGGCGAGTGGGGTCCTGTGCAGACAGCCACACCGCGAGGGCCTGGCCAGGGCTCTGACCATCCCGCTGTGAAGGAAGAAGGGATCAAAGAAAACCAGATGGGTGATGGGCCCATTTCACAGATGAGGCAGACAAGTCGCTTTTCACCCAGCCCTGTTGAAGGGCCTCTGGAGTCCAGCTGTGACCCCGACAAGGCGGCTCAGTTCTCGGTTCTGGGGGTGCTAATGTTCTCAAGTTCCAGCGTCCCGTCTGTCCCATCCCACCCTCTGCCACGCCGCACTCTGCCAACGTGCTCCATGGCTCAGCCAGTGACAGTGCGTGTACCCACCACCCTGCGGGGCTGGGTGGCCTCCAAGGTAAAGCAGCCCCAGGGATCTGAGTGTGACGACGGTGGGTGACATGAGGGCAGGGGTGCAGGAGAGCTGGGCGCTCCGGCAGTTTTGAGTTTGTGCTACTTTACGCTTTTGTCAAGGCCACACCAGGCAGTGCTCAAGGGCCGACTCCTGGCTCTGCACTCAGGGACCCCTCCTGATGGGGCTGGGGGACCCTCTGGGGGGTCGGGGATTGAACCTCGGTCTGCTGCGAGGCAGACGCCCTCCCCGCAGTGCTATGGCTTCTGTCTCCAGCTGCCGTCCTGGGCCAGTGATACCGGTCTGTCCCCTTGTCCTGTTGGTGCACTAAGGGACGATGGCAGGACTCCCCCACTGAGCTGGCCTCGAGGATGTCGGGGGAGGAGGGGAACATGAGTGTGGGCTTGGAGTGGCGAACGGTTCTGTTGCAGTTCTCGTGGCACACGCAGGAGACGGGGCGGGGGGGGGGGGTACAGTGTCCCGTCTGTTTCAGGCATTGTTGGGGACCCGGCCCCCTTCGTTGTCCCGCACTCTCCTGCCTTAGAAGCCCACCCGCGGCCCCACTCAGCCTTGAGCTGCTGGCCCTTCCCCCCCTCCCCTCCAGCCCAGCCTCTCCCCCCCTGCCCCAAGGTCACGCCCCAGTCCCAGCCCCCGGCAGACTCCGCACAGGAAACCGCTCTGGCTGCCGGCGAGACCGCAGCCGGGACCCGACGAGACAGCTCAGAGGCTCACATCCACTTGCCCGAGAGTCTCACTCCAAAGGGACAACCGAGCCGATTGGCCGTGGCTCAGGGGCTTCCTGTGCCGTGCCCGGGACAGCGCCGCTTCCTCGCGGGCAGCCCTGAGCAGCGCCAGCCGTCATGATCTCATCGGGATGGGCGTCACTTTCCACTTCCTGCCGCCCTTCCCAGGCCCATGCGGCCCACCCCAGCCCCAAGGCCTCCAGTGCTTGGATGTCCTCTCCGCACCCTCCCAGCCCTGTTGCCCGAGGCCTGTGACCCAAGGGTGGACAGGGAGGAAAATAGGAGGCAGATGGGACGACTGGGGGACAGGGACCTGCGTGGGCAGGTGGGCAGCCCCGTGTGCGTCCACGTCACCCGCGGCAGGGAGCGTAGGCCGGGAGAGAAGCAGCCCCTGCCCGTGGTGCTGAGCTGCCAAGCACAGCTGCTGGCGGCTCCTGGGCAGGGTGAGACCAGGCAGAGTTGGGGTGGGCAGGGCCAGTCCTGAGGCGCTGGGCTGCCCCCTGACCATTGGTTTTGGTTTGGGGCCACATCCTCAGTGCTCAGGGCTGACTCCTGGCTCTGTGCTCAGGGATCACTCCTGGAGTGCTCAGGGGACCTATGGGGTGCCGGGATCGAACCCTGATTATGCGCTTGCAAGGCGAACACCCCAGCTGCTGGCCTGTCTGTCCAGCCCCAACCCTCTGAGCGTTTACTTCTCGGGGCTGCACCTAGGCGGGCTGAGCCTGTGCCTCACACCCCTGGCTCCCCGCCTGTCACTTCTGCTTTCCTATCTGCGGCCTGGGAAAGTGGGCAGGGCCTCTCCCAGAAACTGACCTCTGACTCCAGTTCCGGATTCTGAGTAAATGCTTCCGGGGCCGCCTTGCCCCTTGGTCCTTCTCTTCTCCCGGGGGTGGTCCAGGCCCCTGGCACCTAACGCACGCCCTGGTACCGGCCATGCTCTGACGTCACTTCCCGTCACCACTGCCCGGGCTGGATTCAGCACACCAGCCGGTTGTGCCAAGCCCCTGAAGAACTGCCTTCCACAGAACTTTGGGCCCCCTCCCTGTGCAGAGCTCCGTGTCCCCTGACAAGGTGCCCCGTTCTCTAGCGGCGTGAGGAGTTAGGAGCCCAGCGTTCACTGGTAGACCCTGCCCGCCAAGGTGCAGCAGTCAGCTCCGAGACCTTCCTCCCTGCCCCCGCCACCACCCGCGACCACCCCCTGGACCAAGCGGTGCTTTTGCGGTTCCTCGCACAAAGCTACAGAGAGTTACAAGGGCAGCATTGAGCGGGAGAATGCTGCTGGGCCGGTCAGTGGGGGAGAACCTGCCGGAACCAACAGCCGTGTGCAGGCCAGCCCCACGTGAACGTGCAGGCCAGCCCCACGTGAACGTGCAGGCCTGGTGTGAGTGCGCACAGAGCCGGGTGTGGATGCGCACAGAGCTGGGTGTGGACGCATGCGCCCAGAGCCGAGTGTGGACAGCATAGACCCGAGTGTGGACACGTGTAGGCCTGGGTGTGGACGTGCTCGTGCAGGGAGCATGGGGAAAGATTGGGCTGAGGTGTGGTTCCCGTGTCTTCTGCCTTCCGGCTCAGGATAGGCTCGGAGCTCTGCAAAGGCGGTTTGGCCAGAGCCCAAATGTGGATCAAGGGACCAGCCTCCCCTGGTCTCTGCCCGCGGTTCTCCCGGGCCAGGCCCAACCAGTGACCCCAGCTCAGCCGCATCTTCCCGCACCCGCTTCCGGGGCAGGGTCAGGACTTTTGTGGGGACGTGGCACCCCTGGCCTCTGGTACTGCCAGTCCTCAGCGCCCAGCCTCACCCCGTGGCTGTGGGCAGGGAGAGAAGAATCCTGACAGCCCCGGGCCGGGCTCTCTTCTCTCCTCAGGGAAGGCCGAGGGGAACGGCAAGATGCACGTCACTCTCTGTGACTTCATTGTGCCCTGGGACACCCTGAGCACCACCCAGAAGAAGAGCCTGAACCACAGGTACCAGATGGGCTGTGAGTGCAAGGTAAGCCCGCACCCTTCGTCTCAGACTCTCACTGCCGCCTCCAGGTAGACCACCAGGGTTTGGTCCCTGCCACTCTCCTGGGTTGCTCTAGGATAGCCAAGGGGATGTGTCACCTCCCATGATGAGGCTGTCCAGGTAGGGATCAAGCCTTTGGGTCCTGAGGAGCCCTGAGGCACCCTGCCAAGCTGTATTGAAGGCAGAAGGAATCTGCCCTCGTGGCTGGTAGCTGCTGGTGGGGAACCCTCTAGAAGACCTTCTGGGAGAAGCGTGTGGTGTTCTGCAAACCACATGATGTCAGAGGCCCACTTGTGTGGTGAAGGCCCCTGGCACGGCCCCTCCCCACACAGTGGGTGCCCCATAGACCTGGGTCCACCCAGCTGCGTTCCTGGGAGCCCCACCCAGAGCTGCACAGTGCTCCCATGGGCACGGGTGTCCCCGCCCCGCACACCCTCCTGCGAGGCTGCATGGAAGCTGTGGGGACCAGGGGCCACGTGTCCCCAGCAGGGGTGGAGGACCAGCGAGGCAGCAGCCGTGGCCGAGGGGACAGTGGGTCCTGGGGGATCCACTGCCTCTCACCCTTCTAAGTTTAGACCCTGGCAGAATCCCCAAAGCCCACACGAAGGAGAGCAAAGACCCCCCCCCCCCCTTTTTATTTGATTGAGCTTATCTCCGGGAATTTTTTTTTTTTGCCTTTTTGGGTCACACCCAGCCGATGCTCAGGGATCACTCCTGGCTCTGCACTCAGGAATTACTCCTGGCAGTGCTTGGGGGACCATATGGGATGCCGGGGATCGAACCCAAGTCGGCCACGTACAAGGCAAACGCCCTGCCCGCTGTGCTATCGCTCCGGCCCATCTTCGGGAAATTTAAGATGCTTTGTGACTGGCGGTGGGGAGGGTCGTGGTAGTGGCTGGGGGGAGGGGAGCGACTGTGGTGATTGTGGTGGCCGCAGCGGCCATGGTCACTGTGCCCCAGAGGAACTGGTGTTTGCGGCATTACTGCATGGCGGGAGGTGGAACAGCGCAGAGGTGCATCTCGCAGCACCCGGGGGCATCTGGGACCCGTGTGCAGGCTGCCCGGGTCCTGACCCCCGGGCCTTGTGTCCACCCCCTAGATCACGCGCTGCCCCATGATCCCGTGCTACATCGCGTCCCCGGATGAGTGCCTCTGGATGGACTGGGTCACGGAGAAGAACATCAACGGGCGCCAGGCCAAGTCCTTCGCCTGCATCAAGAGGAGTGACGGCTCGTGTGCGTGGTACCGCGGTGCGGCGCCCCCCAAGAAGGAGTTTTTCGACATCGAGGACCCATAGGCAGGCCAGAGCCCCCCTCTGGCCATGGCGGCGCCTCTGAGTGTAGACAGGTCCAGCTCTGACATCCCTTCCGGAAACAGCATGAATAAAACAGTCATCCAAGTGGGTCTAATCAGTGTGGTTCTCCCCCGGCCCGCCTCCTTCAGCCACGGCCGTGGGTCTGAGGGAGCGGCGGGCCGGTCCCCCCTCACACTCCTGCCTGCCTGGCCGCCGTCGCCGCGTCCCCTCCCCGGGGCACACAGGGCTAGGACCCGTGGGTGTCCTCGGTGTTGGCGGTCTCGGCGCTGACACACGCTGAGGGGGGTGCCCGTTGCGGTCCCCATCTCCCAGCCTGGTCAGGAGCCTGGAAACGTGTGTGTGCAGAAACTTCCGAGGGGCGTCGCAAGACTGCGTAGCGGGTCTACCAGGTCCCTGTCATCTCCAGAGAGACGCATCCCTCGTCCCTGCAGCTTTCGCACCTCCAGCCCCAGGGGTTTGTCCCTGTCCACTCTCCATTCTCCCCCCCGCCAACTCACCCCGTGCTCACAGCGAGGGGGTACAGCTGGGAGCAGCCTGGCAAGTGCCCCTCACTCCCCTCCAGTCCCGCAACTGCTCTGCCCGCGAGGTGGGCACAGGGGCCGGTGACTGGCCCTCACTCCGAGCTGGGCCTCTGGGCACTGCTCCTGTCTCCTTGGGCATCTGGACAGCAGATTTGGCGGCTCTGTGTTCCCCCTGCCCCGGTGACCCCCACATGGTGGCCGCTCAGCACCGTGCTGGGAGGTGCAGCGTAAGAGGCATCTGGGTTTGCCTCCCAGTGCCTTGCTCTTGCAGAGACCAACTCCCCAGTCACGCACTCAACCCGTGGGCATCGCTCCTCGCAGAGATCACCCACCTGGGAGCCTCATGGGGAGCCTGCCCAAACTCTAAAGCAGTTTCCTGAGCATGGGGCAGGCAGAATTCCCCCATCCTTTCCCACCTTGTTCATGCCCTAGCAGTGACTTCCAGCACGCACAGCCCCGGGCACCCCGGAGCTCTGTAGGAACGCTGTCCAGTGGCCAGCTTCCCCAGAGCCCTGCAGGCCCCCAACACACCAGACTCCTGACCCCTAGTGGGCATCAGCCCAGGCCCGCCCAGGGACCCATCTCCAGGACTCCCCTGCCTAGGGCTGCTGGGCACCCCCACCTGTAAGATGTCCTGAGGGACCAGCCCCCAGATGTCAGTATCTGCACCGCCAGAGGCGCCGTCTCTGTGCCCACCCATCTGCTTGTGTCGGCCGTTTCTCACAAGTCGCGGCCCTGGCTCCTCTTTCTGCCCATCTCTCTCGTCCCGGTTTGTTTCTGACCCGGTGATCGTGCCCGTGCTGTGTTTGATTCCTGCTGGTACGCAGTCAGCCAGAACTTTTGTATTTTAAAAAGATTTTGTTTGGGGGGCAGCTTGGCTTCCGGTGCCCCCTGCTTTGCAGTCACCCACCTTTGTTTTCTGGTTCAATCTGTTACCAAGTAAAGGATCTTTCTTGGAGTAGGTCGGTTTGCAAAGATGGTCTTGGCATGTATTAAACCCCTGCACGGCAGCCTGGCCACGTGGAAGGGGGAGGGGGGTCGTGGAGACAAGACCGCTGAGCCCTGTGATCAGGGCCACTGGGGGGCCGTGCATTGGGCGTGGTTTAATTTATGTTATATTCTTAGCACTGCTCCTTCCCCCACCCCCAGCCTAGTCTTCATGCAAGTAACTCCAAATATTTAAAATAAAGTTTACGTGGTACAGTTATTGTCAATCTTGGCTTGATAAAGTATTAAGAAATGTAGGATTTGCTGCCATGGTTTGAAGCTGTCGTCTTGTTTCATTTGGATATCGCTGTATTTTTTTTTTCTGAGGCTTTGGGGAAATGTGTTTTTGCTGGAATCTGAAGTCTGGGACGGTGTGTGCTGGGGACTGGAGACTCCTGTCTCTGACACTTTGTATCATTCTCGGTGATGTTCAGTCAATGCACAATAAACAATAGGGTCAAAGTGAACTTGGCTCCTGTGTCTGTCCCTCCCTGGGGAGCAGCGGGGGTAACCTATCTGGAGAGAGACAAGATGTTCCTGTACAAACGGGCATGCAGCAAGAGACTGCTTGAAATTGGGGTCTCACGTCCATGAGCAGCGGGGTGTCAAGAGTCAGGCGCTCAGGTCCTGCCACCCCCACCCCAGAGGCCTCTTCCTCCCAACCACCCGGACTGCACGAGGCCGTGATGTCGTGGGGGTTGGCAGGGGGTGCACCCAGGGCCCCTGAGAGGTGCCAGCCAAGAGCCCGCTGCCTTCCATCAAGCCATGGGCTCAGACCACCCTCGGCTGTGGCGGTGGACACTCCTGGCTTGCCCTGTACCCCTCCACTCCCATACCCACACGCGGCTGTGCAGACAGCTCATGGAGGCCTTCAAGTCTTCCTGCTCCGCACACGTCCCTGTGCCCCTCTCGCCCAGCTCGGGGTCTCCTGCTAAACTCCCGAGGCTCTGTTCAGCCTTGCGCACCCTGCCCCCAATGGCCAGGTCTGACCATGGACCACCCCACCCCCTGCCCTTACATGCACGTGCTCTGCTCCTGCAGTCCCTGGTGTCAGGGTGCCCCTGTGTGGGTCCCCCATCCCCAGAGGAAGGGACAGCAGGTGGGGAACCCGATACTGACATCTCATCTTGTTGTAGTGTGTGTGTGTGTGTGTGCGTGTGTGCATGTGTGTGTTCCCATCTGCCTTCTAGGGAACTTGAACAAGACCCAGAATCCACAAATCCACAACCTACCACACACAGGATCAGTTCCAGGTTGTAAAACAGAACCTGAAGAATGTTTAATCCCAGCCAGAGAGACAGAGAAAACCACCCGTGTTAGCTCCACTCTCAGTCCCCAGGGCCCCCAGCACTGCCAGGAAGGACCCCTCAGTACCAAAGCAGGGTTCGTTCCCAGGGACCACCAGGTGTGCTGCCCCACAGAAAGGGACTGGAGCAATAGTACAGCAGGGAGGGCGCTTGCCTTGCGCGTGGCTGACCCTGGTTAGATCCCTGACACCCGATGTGCCCCCTCCGCAAGTTCCACCAGGAAATGCCCCGGAGTGCAGGGCCTTAGAAGCCCACAAAATATTCCAAGTGGATGTGTGAGTGGATGTGCAGACCAGTCCAAGGTACCTCAACTCAATGGTCAGTGGGGCCAGAGGGAAACCAGGAAAACTTCCTGGAGGAGGCAATCCTGCACTGAAGGTTCAAAGAGAATTGAAAGCCAATGAGAGACCAGAGCCTGGAGCAAATCCAGCCTGACTGGGCCTTGGGGCACTCAGTTCCACTGCTATGGAATCCAGTGAGGTGGGTGGCCGGGGAGAGGGGCAGGTGGGAGCGAGCCCCGTGGGCAGAAGTGTCTCCCCCCACTCCAGTACACAGGGCCAGGCAGGGCTTTATGGGCCCCCGCGGGGGCAGTGGGCAGTCTGAGCAGGGGCCATGCCGTCCCACCCATGCAGGCGAGATCCAAGAACTGCAGCTGAACTGCAGTTGAACGAATTTTTCTTTCTTTTCTCAGTGCTGGGCACTGAAGTGAGGGCATCTCACTGCAAGGCAGGACCTCGCACCCAGCCTGCCCATCCCAGCCCCTAACACGGAAAACCAACTGTAGGGATGCAGCTGCAAAGGAGACACCTGGGAACCTGGGTGGGGAGGGACATTGACCAACCAGGAACCTGACCACCCTGCGTGACCTTTAAAGTGTGTGTGGAGGGGCTGGAGAGATAGCACAGCGGGCAGGGCGTTTGCCTTGCACGTGGCTGATCCGGGCTTGATTCCCAGCATCCCATATGGTCCCCCGAGCACCACCAGGAGTAATTCCTGAGTGCAGAGCCAGGAATAACCCCTGTGTATCGCTGGGTGTGGCCCCCCCCCAAAAAAAATAAAAATAACGTGTGTGTTGGGGGGTTGGTGCAGAGACCCCTTGATGCCCTGGGCCCCCAGGAGGGAAGGCATGGGGGTGGGGTGGGGGTGAGGCTGCCAGCCCCTCTATGGCACAGGGTCGGAGACCGAGACAAGCCCCGGGTGGGAGAGACAGGGCCTGAAGCTCCCTGTCCTCTGCCCCCAACTTGTACCAGCGGACCCCTCCCCCACTACCCAACCACCTGGCGACCAGCTGAGAAGGGTGTGGGGACTTGGTCTGCGCTCCAGACAGCCGGGACAGGGGCGCGCCCGTTTCTGGGCTCCAGAGAGCGGGAATTTATAGGAATTTGTAGGGCGCTCCCTGCCAGGGAGCAGCGGCCTCGCACACTTGGCAGCTGCCTGCGGAGTCCAAGGCGGAGGCGCAGAAGGGATGTGCTCATGGGCGGGGGTTCGCATTACTCAAAAGCAGTGAAGTATTTTCCAAAACAATTGCATCATTTCACACTCCAGCCGCCTGCGGCCCATCTGCAGAGCGCACCCTTCCCACAGCAGCTCCTGGGGCCTGTGGCAGGCAGAAAACCCAGGAGACTGCTATCGGAACTACCCTGAGAGTCCTAGGAGGAGGGCCTCTGAGGGAGTGTTGGGGGCGTGGCCCCCGGCCCAGCCCCCACATCCAGGTTTTAGATGACCACCCCACTGCACCGCTGCAGTATTCAGAGCTTTAAGGCAAGTCTAAGACAAGGTTAGCTCTGGGGGGCAATCCTGAATCTGGAGGCAGTGAGAGCCGGGTAGGGTCGCTCATCCTAGGAACCCGAAAGACCAGTGGGCAGGCGGGTTCTGATCCCTACTGTCTGCTTGGAGGGGTCCCTGAGCACCTCCGGATGTGACCCCAAACCCAAACAACACGGGAGCAGCTCCCACCCCGCGTGCCCATGGGATCAGGCCTCTGAGTTTTGTTTTGTGGCCACACCCAGCTGTGCTCAGGGGTCAATCCTGCACCTGAACGACACTCCAGTGGGTGGCCCAGTGCTGACCCAGCTGTGACCCCAGGCACCACACATGTCCTGCAGAGCCCCACCAGGAGTGAGTGCAGAGCCAGGGGTAAGCCCTGAGTACCCCGACAGGTGTGACCCCAAACCAACCAAACCCTAAGGGATGACTCCTGGTGGGGCTCAGGGGACCACGTGTGATGCCAGGGACTAAACCCAGATAAGGGCCTGTCTGCTGTCTGTCTCCGTGGTCCGGCCCCGCCTTTTCACATGTAGAGCAGGAGCACCGGTCCCGTTGTAGGATGACATCGGGACATGCTGTGCCCTGCTTACTCTCAGCCACAGGCGTGAGCTCAATCATGGAAGCTAACGTGGGCCACGTGCTGCTGGGTCGCTCGACATGGTGCTGGGGACAAATGTGGTATCTCATCCCTCGGAGCTAGTTCCCTGCCGCAACTCACCTTGTTTTTGTTTTTGGCTAGAATGAAAGACCTTTTGGAGCAGCCCGAGAGAGTACAGCGGATGAATCTTGCCTTGCACGTGGTGGCTGACCCAGGTCCTATTTCCTGCCACCAGCTATGGTCCCCTGAGCACCAGCGGAAGTGATTTCTGAGCAGAGCCAGGAGCCTTGGGCACTGCCAGGGGTGGCACCCAGACAAACCAAGAGATGTACTAGGGATCACCTTTAATCTGGGCCGTGGAGTCCTGGATGCGGGAGAGTGCGGGCTGGAGAGGTAACAAGGGGTGAGGCACTCACCTTGCACACAGCTGACCCCTGTTTGATCCCCAGCACTGCATATGGTCCCCGGAGCCCCACCAGGAGTGATCCCTGGGCACAGTCAGGGGTAAGCCACCAGGTGTAGCCCCTTAGGTAGTATGCTAAGCAAGCGGCTAGTCGGGCAGAGGCGTGTGAACGCCAAGGCACAGGCGGTGGTACACTGTTACCAGCCAGCTTTGTGGTTGGTTCGCGACATTGTTTCAGGGCACAAAGTGGACTCCCCGGGGAGCCTCCAGGCATCTGCTGCGTATCGGGGGGTGTCAGGCCCGCGCTGTCTCCATCCCCGGGCTGGCCCGACGGACCGAGGATGCGGGAGGCCGGGGTCGTGCAGGGACCTGGCCCAGCTCGCCCTCTCCAGCCTCCTGCCGGGAAAGACCGCGGGAGGGGCGGTTTCGGGGGTCCAGGCGCCCCGGCCCTGCCTCCGCGGGGGCAGCCCGGCTCCAGCCCGGCGGAGGCTGCTGCAAAGGCGCCGCCGGTCTGGGAGCCCCCGGCCCCCGCGGCGTTCACAATGTCAGACACTGCCGGGACCCCCGGGACCTTCCTGGCCCGGCGCGCAGCGGACCGGAAGTGCGCGCCTCACGTGCTCTGCGGGAAGCGCCGGGCCAGGCGCCCGCGGCTCTGCGTGTCGCGTCACCACGTCGCCGGCCCGGAGCTCGCAAGCACCGCCCCTTAAAGGCGCCGCGGCCTTACGGAGTCCGCCGCACGGGGCCGCGGGTCGCGGCGCCTTTAAGAGCCTCGGTGACACGTGTGTGAGGCGGCGGAGGCCCGGATGGTGCGTGTGCGGGGCCCGGACCGAGCAGACGCCAGCGCCGCGGGCCTGCAGCGGAGCCCGCCGAGGGCCGGGTATGCGGGGCCGCCGGGGGGGGTCGGGGCTGCGCTGGCCGCGTACGCCCGGGGGCGGCCCCGAGCGGACCCTGGCCGCGCCGGCCGCCGGCGGGGCGCGCGCTGGGGCGCCCGCGGGGGGCTCGGGCCGGTCCGGGACGTTCGAGGTGCTCGCGGGAGGCGCGGGGCGTCCGCGGGGTACTCTGAGGGCGCCCCCGGCGGGCCGAGGTGTCCGCCAGGTGACCGGGGCGCCCCGCTGCCGCCCTGTACGCTGTCCCCGCGCCGAGCGTGGCCCGGGAGCGGCGGCCGCAGCGGGGGCCAGGGGGACGCTGCGAGCCGGCCGGGGTCTGTCGTGCGGGGCCTTCTGGGGGGCCAGGCCCGGGGACACCTGCCCGTGGGGGCGGGGGCGCCGGGGCGAGGGGCCGCGGGGCCGGCCAGGCTGGGCACCCGGAGGCCTGCGCTCCGCATCCTGCGTCCGGCCCTCCCGCCAGCCTGCGGTTGGTGCTGAGGATGCAGCTGACCCGGGAGAGTGCGCCAGGCGGGAGCTGATCGCGCTGCCGACCCCGGGTGGCCGCGGGACTCCTCCCCCCCCCCCAAGGCCTGTCGGTCCAGGTCCGGGAGGGACCCTTTGCTCGATGGTCCTATACCTGAATTTTAACGGCGAGTGGAGTGGGGACTTCCACCCATGAAGTCTGTATCCCAACCCTTGGAGCCATCTCTCTCGGTCCAGAAACTTCTTTAGATGATTGATGTTTCCGGTGGAATTGGTGTATCGTAGACGTTGTAGAGCATCTCATCAGAACTAACGACCCCCAAGTTCCGACTTCCCTGCTGCCTCTGGCTGGGGACACTGGGTGTCCCCGGTTGCTGGGCAGGAATGAATGACCTTGGGTGGCTTGTGCCCCTGGCAGTCAGGGGCCTCCGAGACCTCTGATTCTCTTCCCATTGTCCCCTTCCCCTCTCCCTCATCTTGGCTTCCTCTCTCGCTGTTGCTGTGCCTTTATGTGTGGCCAGGAGATGCTTGCTGGGAAGCAAATTCAGGTGGGTTGGAGGGTCCTGATAGGCCCCCCTAGGCATCCCGGTCGGCCCGGTGCTGGTCTTTCTGCTCTCTCGTGTGGCGTGTGTCTGAATGTCCTCACAGCAAGCGGCTCTCCGGTACCTTCATTTTCTGTAATCACAGTGATTGTGAACGGCAATTACAGGAAGAAAATAAATCCCCATGCGGCGAGGGAAAACGTGCCGGCTCATCCGCTCCTTCGGCCCAGGGTTGCTTGGGGGTGAGCGTCAGTGGGTGCTGACGCTAGAGCCCGACCCTGCTCTTCGGGGAGAGGGTGCTGGTGGGTTCCTGGGGGTTGTCTCCATCCCCCCTTCCTCCACCCAGTGCTGACACCGGGCAGCCCTGGTCCCAGGGACCTAGTGGAACTGATGGGCGAGCGGACAGCGCTGTAGGTGGCCTGTCTGTCCCCTCAGATGCAGTAGCCGCGGCCTCACGTTGGCAGCTGCAGGGTCTCAGTGGCTTGCGGAGCACTTGAACTTGCGGGCCTGAGCACTGTTATGTCCCTCTGAGCTGCCCCAAAGGTCAGCACTTGGTAGCCCCCACACGTCCTTGCATTGCGCGGCCACGTCTGAGGTTTGGTTGCTGCGAGGCACCTTCCAGAAGACCCCTCCGAGCCTTTTACTATATTTTTTCTTTCATTCTTTCAGTTTCGGGGTGACATCTGACCGTGCTTGGGGCTTCCTTCTGGCTCTGCACTCAGAGCCCAGCCCCCTGTTACCGTCTTTCTTTTGGTTTTGGGGCCTCACTGGGCAGTGCTCAGGGCCGCCTGGAGGTGTCCCGGCTGTCAGGACAGTGCTGGGGATCGATTACCTTCACGCTATTGCCCTGGCTTCTAGACTTACCTTTTTTTTGGGCGGGGGTCATAGGTCATATCCTCTGTTGCTCAGGGATTATTCCTGGCTCTGCACGCAGGACTCCTGGTGGTGCTTGGGGGGCCATAAGAGATACTGGGGGTTGAACACAGGTTGGCCATGTGCAAAGCATGTTTCCTGTCCACTGTACCATTGCTCCGGTCCTCTAGTCTTCTTTTTAAAAGGCAGTTTGGGGACTGGACAGATACTAAATAGAGCGGATAGGATGCTTGCCTTGCATGCAGCCAGCCCAGGTTTGCTCCCCAGCATTCTAGAGGGTACCTCGAGCCTGCCAAGAGTGACCTCTGAGTGCGGAGCCAGGAGTTTACCCCGAGCATCGTCGGTTATTGTCCAAGTATAAAGGGGTGAGTGGGCAGGGCAGTTTCGGGCTAGAGATAGGACAGCGGGTAAGGAACTTGCCTTGCACAGAGCCAACTCGGGTTCTATCCCCGGCACCCCAGAGATGACCCCAAGTCTAGTAGTCAGCCCTGGGCACCTCCCGGTACAGTGGCCCCAAACCCAAAGAAATAAACAGAATGGCCAGGGCATGCCCGGTTGCGGTTCCTGCCGGCAGCCCCTGACCAGCCCGCTGCCCGCAGTGACGCGCCATGCCCATCGTGGAGAAGCTGAAGGAGGCCCTGAAGCCGGGCCGCAAGGACTCGGCAGGCGGCGGGGAGCTGAGCCGGCTGCTAGCCGCGTCCGCCAAGAAGGTGCTGCTGCAGAAGGTGGAGTTTGAGCCCGCCAGCCGCGGCTTCTCCTACCAGCTGGAGTCCCTGCGCAGCAAGTACGTGCTGCTCAACCCCAGGCCGGACGGGGCCGGCCACCGTCGGAGCGGGGACGAGCCGCAGCCCAGGAGGCCAGGTGAGGCACCCCAGGCTCCCGTCCTCCACTGGAGCATCCCAGGATCTGCCCTGCGCAGAGGTGAGCGCAGCTGTGCTCACTCACCGCGCCTTCCTCCCCGCCCTTCTCAGGCAGCGAGCGTGGCTCTGAGGGTGCTGGCGCAGGCGGCGGCGGCGGCGACGGGGTCCCCGCACCCCAGAAAGTCCTTTTCCCCATGGAGCGGCTGTCGCTGAAGTGGGAGCGGGTGCACCGCGTGGGCGCCGGCCTGCACAACCTCGGCAACACCTGCTTCCTCAACTCCACCGTGCAGTGCCTGACCTACACCCCGCCACTCGCCAACTACCTGCTCTCCCGGGAGCACGCGCGCAGCTGTGAGTCAGCCCACCCCACCCCCACCCCCGGGAGGTGGCCCCCACCCAACAGGAAGGGTTGGTCCAGCGGGCCTCCGTGGGGAGGGTCTGGAAGTTTCCTCCTGGCATGGGGCTAGTCAGTCCCTGTGGTTCTGCGGCTTCACACTCTAAAGCCTGCCCGAAACAGCCCAGAAAAGAAGGTGAAGGTGAAACCCAACCCAGGAGGCCGAGTGGGTCAGGGAGGGTCTTCCCAGGAGGGAAACACGGCGAGCGCGAGAAGCTCCCGGAAGCTTCAGGACCCCCAGGACAGAGCTGACTCGGGCCCGGCACCCGGTGCCTGGCGAACCGGCCAGTCTGGGCTGCCACATCGGATCCCTGAGCAGGAAACCGAGCGCTTCCCGGCCTTCTGCGAGGCGTTTTTGGCTTTGGTTTTTGGGGGGCCACAGCCAGCAGTGCTCAAGGCTGACTCCTGGCCCCATGCTCAGGAATCACTCCTGGTGGTGCCCAGCCAGGCCACCATCTGTGGTGCTGCATGCCGGGCGAGCGCCCTGCCCGCTGTGCTGTCTCCAGCCCCTTTGCAAGGCTTTTGCAGTGTGGATTTGACTCTCAAGCCAGCGTGGCCTGAGAGGAAAGAAGGAACGCGGCTTATTCCCTGCAGGAGTGGTCTGACAGCAGGCTCAGTCGTGCCTGGCTGCAGACGGTCGAACTGAGCCGGCAGAGGAGCAGGGTGCCGCTACCAGCCGCTGCTCTGGCCCGCTTCTGCCACCTGATAGCCCTGCGTCCTTGAGGACGGGACGTCGCCAGCCTCGGGGACGCGTCCTGGTCCCTGTCTGTGTGGCCGCAGGGCCAGCGCTGTCCTTGGGCGCAGGACACACTCCCTCGCGGGGAAGGCAGCCCAGACGCTGGGGCGATGCCCTTCTTCACAGAACCTTGTCGCTTCATCTCTCTCGTTTGGGTTTTGTTTTGGGGGCCACTCCCTGCAGTGCTCAGGCCTTTCTCTTGCACCCAGAAATTACTCTGGGGCGCTGGGCATCGAACTCGGGTCCGCTGCGTGCAAGGCAGGCCAGCGCCTCGCCTGCTGTGCTGTTGCTCTGGTCCCACCCCGTCACCTCTAAAGATGCTTTTCCTGCGGAGAAAGGCTGGAGACTCGATAGACAGAGACTTGGCAGGGGGACTCGCCCCAGGAGGCCAGTTGGGGGTCTCCACGCCAGATAGAGATCGCAGGGCGAGGGGGCGGGGTTTGCTCTTGTGCAGAAAAAAATTTCCGATGGTGACAGGGTGACAGAAAGGCTGCTTGCTTTGCCTGGTGACGGCCTCTGTGGGGCCCTTCTGATCAGGATCAAGCACAACAGCCCGTCAGTGGAGAGAGCCGCCTTGGCTTTCCCCAGACTGACCTTAGATCGGGGACCCCAGCTGAGTGGGAGAAACCTGGGGGGGTAGCAGGTGCTCTGCGTGCCCCCCCACCCCCTATTCCCGTCCCCAAGGGAGACCAGGGCTTGCTCTGCCCTCCCCCCACCCCCGGTGTTTCCGGGTGCCATTGGGTGGCTGCAGACCATTTTCTAGAGGGGTAAGCGAGGGTCCTGACATGGGACAGGAGCCCACGGTCACCCGCAGGCCAGTGGCTAGCTGGCCCCCGGGGCTCTGAGACATGTCCACCCGCAGGTCGTCAGGCAGGCTTCTGCATGCTGTGCCTCATGCAGAACCACCTCGTGCAGGCCTTCGCCAACAGCGGCAACGCCATCAAGCCCATCCCCTTCATCCGGGACCTGAAGAGTAAGGCGCCGGGCAGAGCCGCCGGGACACAGGGACGGGGTCCTGTGGGGGGCGGTGGGTCTGCCCTCCCCGCCACCGCTCATGGTGGGGAGCCACTCCAGACTGGCGGGGTGGGGTGGGTGCATGAGGTGGGGAGTCCCTGGTTCTTGCCGCCCAACACCCCGCCTATTCCCCTCCGCAGAGATCGCCCGCCACTTCCGCTTCGGGAACCAGGAGGACGCCCACGAATTCCTGCGCTACACCGTGGATGCCATGCAGAAGGCCTGCCTCGGCAGCGGGCTCAAGTGCGTGCCCCATCACCCTCAGAGCCCAGGCCCGGCGCGGGTGGGCAGCGTCTCTGCAGAGCTCAGCGCCTCTTAGCTGCTCCGCTGGGCATGGGAGGCAGGCAGGGCCTGTCCACGGCGGCATTGTGGTGTCCTGGGTTTGTGGGTTCCGAGGAGAGAACTGACCCGAACTCGCTTCCTGATGTGGCCATGAGCGCCCCCAGACCTCAGCTCCGGACCACGTCCTTGGTGGGGTGGTGGGGGTGTTCCTACCTGCTGCTGAGAATGCTCCCCTGGCCTAGTGGGGCCCTGTCAGGCCCTAGATCGTTCCCAGGGACCCCAAAAGGAGTCAGGTGGTGCGTGCAGGTACCCTGTCATGGGTGGGGCTGGGGGTCAGGCTATGGGCCGGACGCCGCAGAGCCAGAAGGGGCGAGGTGTGAGCAGCCTCAACAGTGGGGGGCGTAATCCTGCAGGAGACCCTCCAGAGGGCAGGGAAGGTCACAGTGGGCTTGCCCGCGTGGTCTGCCTCTCTGTCCCCGTCTTGGTCTCCCAGGGAGTGCCTGGGGAGACTAGCTAGGACCTGGGTATGAGGTGGGTGCTTCCTGCCAACTATGCCCAGGGCACGGGGTTAAGCGTCCACTCGCCCAGGACAGAATCTCTTAGCCCTGAGTGGGCTAACAGAGGCTTTGGGGGAGTGTCCCCAAGTTCCAGGGCCCTCTGGACAGAGCAGGGAGGGCCAGCGGGTGGGTCAGGGATAGCTCAGGCTGTGGAAGGGGAGAGGGAGGGAGAGGACTGCCTGTGGCCGGTCAGTCGCTGGCACATGTTGGGGTGGGGGGGCCCTTGGTTTGGTTTCATGGGTGTTCTGTGTCTGGGCCCCTAATAGAGTTCTCTGGAGCTCGGGGTGGGGGTCAGGCGCACCCGGGGTCCACTGCAGAGGGTCGACCTGACCCAGGCTCTCTGGCAGGCTGGACCGGCAGACACAGGCCACCACCCTGGTCCACCAGATCTTCGGGGGCTATCTCCGATCTCGGGGTGAGTGGGGGTTCCCTCGGCTCCTGAGTGCGCGGGGCTGGGGGTGGGCTTGGGTCTGGCTGGCCGGCAGGAGCCACTCAGCCTGCCCCTGCCTGTCCTGCAGTCAAGTGTTCCGTGTGCAAGAGCGTGTCAGACACCTACGACCCCTTTCTGGACATGGCGCTGGAAATCCGGGTGAGGGCATCCTCCCGGGCACAGCCGCAGGAGCGGGTGCTGGCCTGCTGACGTGTCCACGTCCTTCTCCCTGCAGGACAACACCCCCCCCCCCCCCCGGTGCTAGAGAGCGGGGCCATCTCACCCCAGTTGTTGCATGGAGGGTGGGAGCCTGGCCCCCATCCTGGGTGGTCCTTGGGGTGGGGTTGGGGGGTGGCCATCATGGCCATTCCTGCGCTGACCAGTTCCCACCTTCGTCCTCAGCAAGCAGCAAACATTGTGCGTGCACTGGAGCTCTTCGTGAAGCCGGATATGCTGAGCAAGGAGAACGCGTACATGTGCGCCCGGTGAGTGGGTACCCCACCGGCCAGCGCCCCGTGTGGGAGTGCTCCCGTGAGTGGGGCTGCCCCTCCCCCCATTCCCCATGGGGCCGCTGTCGGTCCCTGCACTAGCAGCTTTGCAGTGCTCCTGTGGTGGGTGTGGGTCACCTTTCTGGGCAGGGCCATGCTGGCACCAGGAATAGGGATGGGGCGCAGCAGGTGGGCACAGGTGGGCCTCCGGCTCTGGGCACCTGTCCCCCCCACCTCCCCAGGCCGGATTTTGCTCTCTTTGACTTTGTTTTTCTTGAATTTGTATTGAGACCCTGTGAGATACACAGTTGCAAAGCTGTCCCATGCAATGTTGCAAGTTCCCAGCACTAGTCACCTTTGCTTTGCTGTAGCCAAGAACCTTCACCCCCAGCCCCGCCCCAGCACTGGGACACCCCAGTCCCTTTCTCCTGCTCTGCGGGTGCCCACATCAGAGCTGGGGTGTGGGGTGTGGGGAGGGCGGGGTGCTGACATAGGGGGCCCTACCCATCTCCCTCAGATGCAAGAAGAAGGTCCCAGCCAGCAAGCGCTTCACCATCCATAGAGCCTCCAACGTGCTGACGCTCTCGCTCAAGCGCTTCGCCGACTCCAGTGGCGGCAAGATAGCCAAGGTGGGGCTGGGCGGGGCGTGACCGTGGGCTGGCTGAGCCCTTATTGATGGGGGCCCACATGTAGCACTGGGCGGGCTTGTCCCCCTGCCCCTGGCCACATGCCCCCACCTGCCCGCGTCCCCCAGGGTTGTTGGGGCTCCTGTGTCCATAGGGCTGCAGCAGCCCCTCTCTGCACTGTCCCCACCACCTCCACTGACCCTGGGTCCCGTATCAGCAGAGGGCCCTTGTGTCCAGGCGCCAAGTGGGGACGTTTGCCGCTAGCCAAAGGCACTTACTAATGGCACAAATGTGTGAGCCCCGGCCTAGGATGGCCTCTGCCAGCAACTGTAGGGAGCCTGTCTCTGTGCCAGGACCCCACCCTCACCCCCACGGGCTGTAGGAAGCCTGACTTCTGGGCTCGGACCCCACCCCCATGGGCTGCAGGGAGCCTGTCTCTGGGCTCGGACCCTACATGGCTGTGGCAGGAGGGATAGGCCCCAGCTGAGTGGCTATGCTTTTCTCTGCCAGGACGTGGGCTACCCCGAGTTCCTGAACATCCGACCCTACATGTCCCAGAACAGCGGCGAGCCTGTGGTGTATGGCCTCTACGCCGTCCTGGTGCACTCGGGCTACAGCTGCCACGCGGGTCACTACTACTGCTACGTGAAGGTTGGGATGGGCCTGTAGGCCCTGGCCTGGGTTCCCCTCCACAAACACCCGCAGGGTGGGGGGCGGGGCATGCCTGTGCCCCTTCCGAGGGAGTTGGGCATCCACCCCTCGGGGACAGACAGCTGTGAATGGGAAGCTGCGCCCTGTTACCTCTGTGTTTCTGTTCAGGCGAGTAGCGGGCAATGGTACCAGATGAATGACGCTCTGGTCCACGCAAGCAACTTGCAGGCCGTTCTCAACCAGCAGGCCTACGTGCTCTTCTACCTGCGGTGAGGCCCCGCCCCATGCCCCGCCCATCGCATACCCAACCCCGCCCACCTGCCAAGGCCTGCCCATCAAACCTATCCAACCCTGCCCTGTGTCTAGCCCGCCCCCATCTACCCATCGAGGCCCCGCCCATCACCAATCCTGTCTAGTATCTAGCCAAGCCCCGCCCACATCAAGGCCCCGCTCGCCCATCAAGGCCCCACCCCCAGGCCCTGCCCATTGTCCCCTCCTGCCCTGTCCTGGCTCTGGCCCTGTCCCAGCTGCTCAGGGCTGACCCTACTCTCCACAGGATCCCCAGCCCAAAGAAGAGTCCCGAGAACACCATCTCCCGGTCGGGCTCGGCCCTCTCTGGCCGCCCCAGCCCAGGTGGGGCCAGCACACACAGCAGGCGGCCTTCCAGTCACGGGGCCGCTGCCTCGCCACTGCCTGGGAAGGTAATTCTTGGAGCCAGGCGCCCCTAACCCCATGTCTCCTGCAGGGGAGGAGGGCGGGTACACTGTCTCGCTGGACTCCTAGTGTGTCATCAGCGGGCCTCCAGGCGCGGGTGTGTAGCTCAGGCCATTGCAGACAGGGTTGCCTTAGCGGCATGTGGGAGGTGACTAGCTCCAGGGGACGCGGGGCTCTGGGTGAGCTGGGTGGTGACCTCAGGTCCCCAGCACGCCCAACGCTGGGGGACTCATCTGTGAGGCGTGTGAAGTGCCAATGGGGAAGCCGCCAGGCTGCTGCATGTGTGGGGCCCCGTGCCCGGGAGAGGGACCGCACTCAGGAGAGGCCGTGCAGCCGTGGGCCCTCTGCGTGCGGGTCTGCCTGGGTGACCACGTCTAGGTCCGTCAACCCCACCTCAAGCAGAGCGACCTGAGTGTGGGGCCGCAGTCACCAGGCACACTTTGGTGACCTTGGCAGCACCATGCTCACCAGGCACATTGAGTCCCGCGAGGCTCCCCCCAGTAATTCCCGTGAGGTCTGTGTGCGGGCAGCTGCTGACACCAGCCCACAGGCAGGGAGAGAGTTTCTTGCAGAAAGAAGCAGACCGCTCTTCTCCCCTCACATCTTCCTAGATTAATTTTGTTCGGTGAAACCTATATTGTTTCACACACACACACACACACGGAAGGTTAATATAAAGGCAAAAGAGATAATATAGGAGATGGGTACTTACCTTATGCCCAGCTGACCTGGGTTTGATCCCCAGGCCCCCTGTGGTCTCCTGAGCCCTGCTAGAGTCACCCTGGAGCACAGAGCTAGGATTCAGCACTGAGCACACCAGTGTGTCCCAAAAACAATATATATATGTGTGTGTGTATATGTGTGTGTGTGTGTGTGTGTGTATATATATATATATACATATATATATATTTATGGACTGGAGCAATAGCACAGCGGGTAGGGCGTTTGCCTTGCATGCGGCCAACACAGGTTGGATTCCTCCGTCCCTCTCAGAGAGCCTGGCAGGCTACCAAGAGTATCTCACCTGCACAGCAAAGCCTGGCAAGCTACCTGTGATGTATTCGATGTACCCTAAAAAAAAAAAACACAGTAACAGCTCTCATAATTTGGTGTGAGACGTTACTGGTGCCAGCTTGAGCAACTTGATGAACAACGGGAGGACAGTGATATATATGTGTGTGTATACACACACACACACACACACACACACACATACATGAGGAACTGCTTAGAAAGGAAGAAAGATGAGGCCCCTCAGGGAAAGCTGGGTTTCTTTGCTGCCCTGGCCAGCCCTCGCATGCGGGGGCCAGGTCTGGCCTCCCCCATGGTCACGTCCCTGTCCTGCAGAGCTGGGTGACGGTGATGAGCTGTAGGCACTTCTGAGGGGTGCAGCACACCCCCATCCACCGGCCAACCCCTCTGGGACCCTCACGGCCCTCTCCCCTCTGTTCCTCTTCAGCGCCCGGACCCCACGGCCGTGAGGAAGCCATCCCCCTCCGAGGAGGTCGGGGTGCCCATCTCAAGGAACGGGTCCATGAAGCTGCACAACGGACACGTGTCCCCGAAGCTACCCCCCGCGTACCCTTCCCCTCGGCACTGCGCGACCCCAGCCAGGAAGGCGCCAGGCCCACCGCACACCTCCCCGCCCCCCAAAACTCCTCAGGGCCCTGCCCGGGGACAGGGCTCCTGGGACAGAGGCACCCCCCACTCTACCTCACCCAAGCTGCTCGCCGCAGGGACCACCAATGGCCACGGACCCAAGGTGGGCTCCGAGGGGCCCCAGGGAAGGGGCTCCGGCCATGCCAGCCCTGAGCCCTCGGCCAGCAGTGACCCCGCCAAGTCCCCGCCGGCCCCCCAGAGCAGCGGCCCTCAGAGAGCAGACTCCTGCCCGGGCGCCGGAGAAGACCCCAAGGCCGGCAAGCCCAGGGCCCCCCTGAGTGCCGCCACCACGCCCGAGCTCCCCAGCTTCATGTCACCCCCGCCGGCCAAGAGACTGGCCCTGTCGGCCAGGAAGGTGGGTGTGGGGGCGGTCAACCAGGCTGCAGTGGGGGAGGGGAGGCGCCCCTTAGGCTGAGGGTCCTGAGTACTGGCAGGTTGGGGGGCCACTGGTCCCCATAATATGCTAAGTGGCTGGGGAGGCGCATCTCTAGTTGGGGTCAGGGGGCGCGTCCCGTCTCGGGGTGGGGTCAGGGGGTCGCGTTCGTGCTGGGGGGGGCGGGCGTCCGTGCCTGGGTGCAGGCCTCCCCCTTAGCGGTGCTGCGTCTGTTTAAATTTCCATCCTTTTCCTTTTCGTTTCTAACCAAAAGCACTTCTGGTTCTTCTCCCTCTCCCCCTCTCCGGGCTCTCTCTGTTCTCTTTCCCTTTTCTCTCTGCTTTTTGTTTTGGTTCCCTCTCTGCTCACGCGACCCTCTTTAGACCACCAAGTTTTTATTTATGTCGATAACTGCAGGCCAGCACCCTGCGGAGGGCCCCCGGCAATGACCTCCCGCCGCCCGCCCTCACCCCCCGGACAGCCTCACGCCCCGCCGCAGCCGCCGCCGGGCCCGGCCCTGCTTGCAGGTGAGCCGGGGTGCCACTGGCCGCCAAAGAGTCGCAGGGACACGCCGGCCACTGGAGGAGGGCGCAGGGGGTGTCGGGTCATCAGTCACTGTGGTCATAGCAGAAGGTGGTGGCTTGGCGTTGCCCCGGCACAGCTGCCCCTCACCGTCCCTCGGAAGGTGCCCTGGCACATGGCGGGCCCTGTGACCTGCTCGAGCCTGGGTCTCAGGGAGGCCCGGCCTCTTCGTGTCCCTGTGGTGAACCTAGGAGGCGCTTGGTGACATGCCATGGTCCCAGTGTCCACCTGGCTCACGGGGTGCCGTGGCCTGGCCCGGCCCCACAGCCAGTAGGAAGCAGAAGGGAGACTCCTGCACGGGAGCCGGGTCCACCCGCAGAGGCCACGGAGACACGTGTTTCCTGTCCCTGCCATACATGGCTCGTGGCACTGCCTGAACTCTGGCTTCTTCCAAAGCTGGATGCGGTCATGTGGCCCGTGTGACCCTGCGCCTGTAGTGGCCCAGCTTACTCCGACTTTCCTTCCAGGGCCTTCGCAGATGCCCCCCGACCCTCCGGCCACCTGAAGCTCCCCCCCAGTCCAGACCCCCATGCTGCGTCTCTGTCCTGTGGCCGCCAGCCCCTGGGGGTGCTGCCTCCTCCCAGCTGTGCCTCTGCCTCCAGGCCTCTGCCTCAGGCCAATGGGGGCTCAGTGCCCCCTGCCCGCCAGCACCCCCAGGGCCTCTGTAAGAAGAAGAGGAAGAAGGGCCCCCCGGCAGAGAGTGGGGGCCTCAGCCCAGATGCTCAGCCTGTGGCTGTGCCCCCTCCCGGGAAGAGGCGGAAACGGAAGAGGAAGCGTCTGGAGGAGGCGGCGGTGGCCTCCTGCCCGCAGGAGGGGCCGGGGCGGGGCCATGCCCAGCTGGAGAACGGCCAGCAGCTGACCGTGAACGGCTGTCCCAGGGGCGAGCGGCAGGTGGGGGCCGTGCCCGACCGGGGCCACAGCAAGAAGCGCATGAGGACGAACTCGGAGGGCACGCCCTGGCACAGGTGGGCGCTGTCCCCACTCTCCGGGGGTGCGGGGCAGGGGGCCCAAGCTCACGCTGCTGACCGCACCCTCCCCATGGACAGTGCCCAGCCCGAAGCCCCCGAGGGCTCCCCGAGGAAGAAGAGGCGGAAGAGACGGAAGCCGGAGCCAGGGTGGGCCACCGAGCAGGACCCCAGCCCCAACGGCGAGAAGGGCCCTGCGACCCCCACGCACAGCTACCCGGAGCCCTCGTCACCTGTGGACGGTGGGCTTGGGGGCACCCACACAAGTGTGCAAGGTTCGGGGACTGCCTGGCGGAGTGTTCACGGGAGCCTATTGGGGGTCTCGCTCTGTGCTGGCGGCTGTGCACCTGCCCCCCATTCCCTGGCAGGGCCCCCGGGCTTACTCGCAGGGTCTCATCTCCTCGGGGGCTCCAGGGCACCTTCCTCTGCACTGGCCCCTCAGCTGGGCCTTTGGGTCGGGCCTCACAGTGGTGGGTCTGTTGAGGGCCGTGCTTTGGGGGACATGGTGGCCCCTGGGGGGGCTCCTCACTCCCGAGCAATGACTCGGTGGTGGAAGGTGGCTTTGGGCCCGTGAAATGAGCCTGCGACTGGGCAGTGAAGTGGATGGTGGGTCCTCAGCCCCGCTGCCCTGCAGGCCAGAGTGGACAGCCAGGTCCTCAGCCCCACTGGCCCGCGGGCTGGAGCATCTGTGTCCAGGCAGAGTGTCATGGTGGTTTTCTGTGACCATAGGATCCCTCTTTTCAGGGGAGGTGGTGACCAGGCCAAGGGGTGGGTGGGGGCCCTGAGCGCAAAGGTCAGAGGGTCATAACAAATGAACACGGGGGTTCACAGTCAGGGCTTGCGCACGTGGGCTGCTGGCAGGTCTCATGTCATTGCTGTCCCGGGAGAGGAGGTGGCGTTGGCTGTGTCTGGGCCCTGGGGCTGGTTCTGGCAGGCCGGGTGGGTTCCGCATCCCCTGAGTGTCACCCTCTGGCTTTAGGGCTCCCCCCAGACCCTCCTGAGTCCTGCCCCCGAGCCAGGGGCTTGGATGTGCTCCAGGAGCTGCTCCGCTATGCCTCGGACACGGCGTACGGGAAGAAAGGTGCAGAGACACGGGGGGACCCGGGACGCCCATGCGTGGTGGTAGGGGATGCCGCGTGTCTGTTCTCGGCAGAGCCACGCGAGCGGTTCTTGCCTGAGGATAGCCAGGAAGTGGCCAGGGCCTCAGCGTGTGCTTACGGGGAGGCTGTTGGTGCTCTCCTGTGCCCTCCCAGCCTGTTTCCCCTTCTTCCTGCCTCTGCAAGTCCACCTTCCACCAGAAGGTGGCGCGGGGGCAGCCTGGGGGAGCGCGAGGGCCTGGCCCAGGGAGTGAGGCCAACATGTTCCCGCAGTTCTGACGTGGGACGGGGCACTGTCAGCCGTGAGTCAGGACGCCGTCCGGGACAGCAGGCTGGCCTGCGCCGCCACGGTCACAGACGACTGGGACGCTGAGTTTGATCGAGGGAAGGTACGGCTGGCGGGGGCTCGGCCCCTGGGGGGTGGACAGCATGCTTTGGCCCCTCTGTGGGGATGGGGTACACGGGCAAGCTGGTGGAGCTTGGGAGGAAGCGCAATCCCGACCCCGAGAACCCGTGGGCACCCCGGGCCGGGAAGGGCCTGTGTGGAGATTGTGGTTTCCACGGCTCTCGGTGCAGGAGAAGAAAACAAGAAAACTCAAGAGAGAAAGGAGAAGAAACTTCAACGCCTTCCAGAAACTTCAGAGTAGACGGAACTTTTGGTCTGTGACTCACCCTGCCAAGGCCGCCAGCCTGAGCTACCGCCGCTGACTTGGCCGCTGCCAAGGGTGGGTGAAGGTGCATCATGCGTGGGCCTGCGGGGTGCGGGGACGGTGATGTGCGGCGTGCGCATGGCGTGTGCATGTGTATGTGGTGCGACGGGTATGTGGGACATGTGCACATGTGCAGTTTGGACGCTGCGTGTAGCGTGTCGGCCTGCGTGGCAGGCAGGAGGAGACCCTCAAGTGAGTTTCGATCCTTCTGCTACCCGCCATTTGATCCTCCCCGGAATGTCCTTGGGGACAGTGGGTCTTGGGTCCCCCTAACGCCAGGACACTGCTCTGCCCACAGCTGTGGAGGCCAGGCCGGGCCGGCGCTGCTGGAGGCGGAGGCACCCGAGAAGCCCCGCACGGAGCCGGCTGCACTGGTGGCGTCCCTGCACCCCGGGGGTACCGGTTCCGGACGGTGGCGCCTGGTCAAGGGAGCATGGACGGCGCCTCTCTGCCCTGGGCGCTGGCCAGGGCGCAGTGAGCACGGCCTGCTGGGGACGCACCTGTCGCCTATGTGGGGCCTCGGTCCAGTGACTCGGAGAGGCTCTCAGCTGGCGTGAGACGGGCCTGCCCATGTGTACCAGGGCATTCGGTGTCTGCAGGCTGGCATGGAGGGCAGGCCCTGCCACTGTTGGCGCCACTGCAGACCCGGGCACCCCACCCTGGGCCAGCCTGGCCCACTGCGCCCAGCACAGTCTCCGGGGGGCGGGGGCCGCAAACTTCCCCCACGGGGTCCTTCCTGCTTTCCCACTGTTCTCTGCTTTCCTGGGAGAGGCCAGCCGTGGCCCGAGGACACCAGTCCACAGGCTCCACCTCGGTCCTTGTGGAGCAGAGGGCAGCTGGTGGGGCGCAGGTGACTCCTATGAACCTGGATCCACGTTTCCACCGTGTCGTCAGAAATGGACGTACTGTGACGACTGTCTGTAGGCACACAGCGTTGTGCGCTTGCTGCCTCCACCTGCCCGCCCCCTCCCCCAGACCAGGGCCTCTCAGCCCGCTGCGCCCTCTTCTGAGGGGCCTGCATGTCGGGGTGTGTTTACTGGACACCTTCCCACCGCGGGCCCTGTGACATGACATGACGGACACACGGGGCCGGCTGCGGCTGGAGAAGCCCTGATTCCAGGCAGCTCAGAGCTCGGGAATGGGAGTCACGACGCTCCGGGCCACCCTGAGCCGCGGGAGGAGCGGAAGGTGGCGGGGATCCCCGGGGAGGAGCTGGGCCCTGTGAGGTGCAATAAAAGATTAAAATACTGGGTTCCTCCCAGCCCTTGCCTGTGCTGTTTTTGGTTTTGCTTTTCAGTGTTTTATGCAAGGGGCTATTCTTGGTGACGGGGCGATGGGGGAGCAGGTGCTGGGACCCAGCCCGGCCTGGTGTCTGCCGGCATGTGGTCTGACACCAGCCCTCGGCCCTGGCCACGTGGGTGACAGCGAGCACGCGCTGGATGACTAGAATGTGACGCTTTGCATGGACATCACTCGGCTGTGGCCACCCAGAGGTGGCGGTTTCTGCAAGGGAGCAGAATTTCCTCAGGGTGAGCCGCACGCTCACGTGCACGGCCAAGGCAGGCTGAGGGCGGCTGTCGGGGCCTCGGGCATGACTGCTGGTCAGCCCGGCTGTGGAGTCGCCCTGTGGTCAGTTCATGGTTCCTGTGGATGGAGTGAATGCATGGTCCTGGCCCCCCACCGTGTGCCCCTGCCTCGGGTGACCCCGCAGCCCCCACAAACCTCTGCGGCCTCAGGCCTGGTCTGGGGGTGGGACAGTTCCCAGCCCCAGAAGCTGGGAGTGGGAGCCTGAGGGACACTTCGGAGTGGGGTGGGGGCTAAGCGTGAGCAGGCAGGGGTATCTGCCAGGCGCCCCCCGGTCTGCAGGGCACACGGGTTTGAGAGAACTCAAAAGGCTGGTAGGGCCTGTCTCAAGAAGGCATGTGGCTGTGGGCACTCGGGTGACAGTTGAAGCTCAGACGAAGGGGGGCGGGGGACAGCCTGGGAGCGAACAGGAGGGCTGGCGCAGCCGGAAGGGGAGACAGCAACAGCAGCTTCTGAAGTGGGGCCACCCCCGGGCCCCCCTAGAGCGGCCCCAACCCCGGTGGGGACTGCTGAGGCCTGTGTGCAGTGTGGGGACACACCTGGTCTCTGGCCGTCCCCGTGGCCACTGCCCAGAGGGAGGATGGACAGCCTAGTCCCCACCCGGAGGGTGTTTGGGGTTTCGGGTCTATGCAGGGCGCACCCCCGCAGCACCCCGTACTGATGAGGGGCTTGTCCGGGGTCTTCTCTTACCATACCGACCCCGGCCGAAACTGTCGTTCTCTGCTCGTGTCCTGGCTGACCCGGGGGCTCCTTGCGGGGGCTGGGAGTCCACTCAGCAGCCAGCTGAGGCCAAGCCTGGCAGGGACCCAGCGTGAGCTGCTCTGCAGAGGGGAAGCCGCAGTGCGTGGCACGCGGCCAGCGGGCTCCGGGCGGCCCGGGAACAGTTGGCGACAGCTGGATACAATCAAGTTCCATCACAAACAGATCCGAAGCGCCATTCACATGGCGAGAAACTGCAAGCTTTAGCAAAATAAAATCTGGGCTCTTTCAAAGCAGACAACGTGCTCATCTTCCTGGTCGTTGCGCCTCTGGGCTTCTGCAGCGCTCAGCACGCCTCCCTCCTCCCTCGCACCCCGCACCTGGCAGGCTGATTGACATCCCCCCTTCCACCACTCCCCTGCCGGTTGACGGTTGACGGCCTGCCCAGACCCTCTGTTGGGGTGTTGGCACATATTCGGCTTGTCCCATCCTCCTCTACACACAGCCAAGCCTCTTCTTGAGAAGTGTGTCCCTCTCTGCCCCTCTGGTCCCCTCATCAGACAGAGCTTTGAACTGAGGTCGTGGTGGGTGCTGGATTCTAGAGTGTGGGGAGCGATGGGTGTGTTCCTTGAGGCCTGTTTTCCTGGTCTTCAGGTACAAGAGATGGGGCGGGGGCCTCCCCAGTGGCGATGGGGCCCAGGGCCCGCTCCTGACCGGGCAGACCTGAAGGTTCCGTGCTTGGGCACAGCTGGGAGAAACTGGGGGTCCCTAGGGCCCACCTGGCCATACTGGAGAAGGGGCTGAGGTGAAGCCCGTGAGTGAACTTGGGTCCTGACTCTCCCCTTTTGGCACCCTTGGTGAGTTGGTTTTGGTGGATTTTGCTCGGGGTGGGGGCTAACCACGTGGTGCTGGGGATTGAAGCCGGGGTTCCCACGAACAAAGTACCTGCTCCAGCCCTTTGTTTTTGTCATTTTGGGGGCCATACCAGGTAATGGTCAGGGCTTCCTCCTGGCTCTGAGTTCAGGGAACACTCTTTCAGTGCTCAGGGGCCCACATGGGCTGCCAGGGATCAACCTGGGTTGGCCGTGTACAAGGCAAGTGCCCTCCCCACTGTCCTACCGCTCCAGGCCGTGTTCCAGCCCTTTGAACTGTCTCCTGGCCCAAGTGAGTTTTTGTAAAGGACCAGGTAGGGTGGTGGAGCTCAGGCCGCAGAAACTGCACGCATAGGCAGTAGCTGTGATTGACACCTGGAGAGGAGGCCAGAAAGCCAGCAGTCTGGGGAGTTCTGTGCCTTTGACTTCCTCATTTGACTGGTCTGAAAGCCCCAAGGACTTGGGATGCCCAGACAAGCCTGTGGGGACAGAGGCATGCGTCATTGTGTTTTGGGGCTGACATTCTGCTGCACTGGAATTTTCCTCTTGGTCATAACAACAAAAGGCCTCCAAATGTCCCCAAACCACATCTTTCTTGAATCCCTTGCTGACTTTAAGAATTTTTTTTTTGCGAGGGGGGGCCCCACACCCAGCGGCTCTCAGGGATCACTCCTGGCGGGGCTTAGGGGATCACATGCGGTACTGGGGATTGAACCGGGGTCAGCCCGGTGCAAGGTTAGTGCCCTCCCCTCAGGCAGGCCTAAGCAATTATTTGAAAGACAGGTCAAGCCGGATCGCAGCGGGATGGGTGGAAGGGATCCCGGAGAGGCCCGGGACCTCCTCGGGCTCCGGTTTTCTTGTCTGAGTTCACAGAGTCCGGTGTTCCAGAGGGGCCTGCCAGGTCCACCGTGGGTCTTCCGGCAGGCTGGGTTGGAGACGACGCCCTCCCGGGGCTCAGCAGTCCTAGGGGCACACCTCCCCTTGCACGGGGCAGCGGGCGCTCTGAACCCCATGGGCCCGGGCACCGCGGGCTGGGGACGGGCGCGGCCCCTCGACCCCCTGCAGGTGCGTGTGCGCGCACCGCGGGCCGCGGGGCAGGCAGGGGCCACTTCCGGAGCGCGCCCTCAGGGACCTCCGCGGCTCGGCGGTTTTGGCCCAGGTCCCGGCCCCCCGCCGCCCGGCCCTGCAGTGGCCGAGCCCGACCGCGGGCCCGAGGAGGCGGCCGGCTGAGGACTGCGGGCGCGCCCGGGTCTGCCCTGGGCGCCCGCGCGCGCCTTGCGAAACCCGAAACCGACGGAGGCGGGCGGGGCGGGGCGGGGCATCGGGAGCGCGCCTGCGCGGGCCGGGCGGCCGCGGGCCGGCGGGGGCGGGGCCTCGCGCGGGGGCGGGTCGTGGCGGGGTGGGCGTGCGCAGGCGCGCGCCGGGAGCCGGCCGTGGGCCGGCGGGGGCGGGGCCTCGCGGGGGGCGGGCGGGCGCGCGCGCGCAGGCGCGGGCGGGTGGCGGGCGCGCGCGGGCGCGGGCGCGCGGCAGCGGGCGGGGCGCCCCGCGGGAGCGACGCCGGGGGGCGGGGCTCGGGGCCGGTGGCGGCGAGCGCGGCCGGACGCGGCGGGACGCCGGGGGCCGGGGCCGGGGCCGAGCGGCGGGCGCCGGCGCCATGGAGGAGGACGACGGCTACGGTCAGTGCGGCTCTCGCGCGCGGGGCTCGGGGGCCGCGCCTTTGTTGGGGCCGCGCGCGGCCGGCGGGCGGGGGGCGCGGCCTGCGGGGCGCGGGCGGCGGGCGGAGCGGGGCGGCCGCGGACCCCCGGACACCGGAGCCCGGACCCCGCCGGGGCCGGCGCGGCGCCGCCCGGCAACTTTGCCTGCGGGAGGAGGCGGAGTCGGGGCGCGCCGGGCCGCTGCCGGCCGCCGGGGAGGGGGCGCGCCGGGCCGTGCCGGGCCGGGACCCCCGCTGGGGGCGGGGCGGCGCCGCGCCCGGAGCCCCGCCCGCAGCCGGCCCGCGACCCCCGGTTCGGTGCGCCCGGGCGCCTGCTCACCTTGCCAGAAGTACGTCGCTTCCCGGGGGATGGAGTGAGTCCCCCCTGCTCCGGGACGGACGCACGGACGGGCCGACAGGCGTGCGCGGGGCCCACCCCGGAGACCTCCCGGCCGGCCAGCAGCGGCTGGTCAGCCTCCCGGTGCCCGCCCGCCGGCCTGGGGGACGGGAAGCTCCCCGGAGCCGCGCACAATGGCCGCCTCCCCGGGCGCCCGAACTTGAACTTGGACGGCGGCGGGGCCGCCTTGGCGCGCGCGCTTCCCGGCAGCTCTGGGTGTCCCTGGGCACGTCTGCTGGGTACTGGGCGGTGCGGACCTGGCTGCGGCTACGCGGCCCTGGAGCTTCCGGGAAAAGCCCCTTCCCGGCCTTCCAGCTCCTGGGTTCAGGCCCCCCCGCAGACCGGGGCCTCCTCCCGCCCCCTTGTGCTTAGGCTCTTCCTGAACCAACTTGCCCCGGCCTTGGGCACCCCCTCGCCCACAGGGGCCAGTGTGATTACGGGAGGGGGGTTCCAGGACCACCCCCGCAGGTGAGAAAGAAGCTTGTCCTCCACCGTGCAGGGGGCCCCTTCTCATGAGGGGCTGGCTGCGGGGGGGGGGGGGGGGGGGCGATGTCTTCTGCAGTGCCCCACGCTGCTGGCTGGCCAAGAGGTCAGTGACCTCTCCTTGGTCTGCGTCAGCCTCATGGGCGGGGCAGGATGGACAGTGTTTCAAAAGGGGGTGTGTGCCAGGACCACTGAGCCAAGCACCCCAGAACCGCCTGTATCCTGCCTCAGCCCAGAGCACCCCTTGCTTGATTGGGGGGGACACACCCAGCGGAGCTCGGGGCTGACTCCTGGTGGGGATGGGGGCATAGGAGATGCTGGGCATTGAACCTGGGTTGACCATGCAGCTTGCTTTTGACCTGGTTTTTGGGAGGCACTGGGCTGATTTTCATGCCCCCAAAGTGATGTGGAACCCTCCCATATAACATGCCGAAGGGGGCTTGTACACTTTTGGGGTCCTTGAGGGGGCGTTTCAAACACAGGCCAGGCTTTTCTTGGTGCTCCTTTTGAGGTAGGGGACCCCAAAACTGCAACAGCCAAGCTGGTCTGCCATCCACAGACCCTCCCTCCAGCGAGGGCTGCGGATGGCCCCGGCTCCGGGAAGACGGAGGGGATTTCCAGATGCGGAGGGATGTTTTCGGGACGTTCTTGCTTGGTGGTTGGTCTTGGCCCCTTTATCCTTCAACTCCAGGCTGCATGGGAGACTGACCTTCCCTGACCCGCTGGCTGGAGAAGGCACTGCCCCGAGACCTGGCCTTGGCCCTCTGGTGACATGTCTGGGTGTGTCCAGACTTTGTCACTCTGTGCTTCGGCTGCTGGTGCCTAGCAAAACCGCACGGAGACGTGTTGGTGACCCCCATTCCAGGGGCTCCCGGGACGGGTGGGGCGGGCCGCGTTCATCAGAGCCGAGACCAAGTCATATGCTCTGGGTGTGGCTTCCTGAGGTGGAACCGGGGTGCTTCGCCCAGCAACGCCCCCGTCAGCTTCTCCCTGCTCCGCTGCGTGAGACCCGGTCGATCTTCCGGCCTGGTGGGGCGGTGAGGGGGCAGACCCACTGTTTCCTCTTTGTGCCTTGGGAACAGGCCTGGGGCCTGCACCCCACGGAAGCCGCAGCTGCTGCGGGAGCATCACGGGGCCCGACCCCGGGACACGGGGCCAAGCCCACTGGCTTTGTTCTCCCGTGATACCGGCCCTTGTTCTCACGGGAAGTCGCAGGCTTACCGCTTTGCCTTTATTGTTAGGAACATAATTAGCTGAAATCTGGGTTTTCTTAGGAAATCTGGAAGTTGGGGTTACCATAATCAGGCATTGACTGGAGCCCGGGGCGGCATTAGCCCGTTGAGAGGTTCTGAACATTCGGAGAATGCCTGGTGTCCTGTGTTCCCTGAGGGGTGATAGTGCCTTTGTCAGTACCTTTTGGGTCACACCTGGTCCCGCTCCGGGGGTTGCACTTGGGAATCCCTTGGGACTGTGCTGGGGTGGGCCTGAACCCAGGTGGGCCTGAGTGGTCCAGCCTGGAAGTGGCCTCAGAAGCCTGCTGGGCGCTTGTTGCTGTGACCCGGATACTGTGGGGGGTGGGGGGATAGGGGCTGGGACCCCAGTGTCTCCAGTTGCGCTGGTTCTCTAGAAGGGGGGTGCTACTCCCTGCAGCGTCTGCTGACTCGCCTCTCTGCCCCTCGCTGAGGCTGGAGCAGCACTTAGGACTGGGGCCAGCGAGGACACCGCCGAGTCTCGGTCTGGGGGGTCTGGAGTTGGGGTGGGCCATGGAGTCTGAGCGTTTTATGGGTCCAGTGTTGGGGGGCTGCTGTGGGATCGCAGCACCCACGCCGCTGCCTCTGACCCCGTGTGTCCTCCAGCAGTTCCTGCCTGGTGAGCTGGCCCCAGCAGCTGCATGCGCCCGTGGGAGGGGGCAGGCATCCAGGTCAGGGGCAAGGGTGCCCCGAGGCTCCTGCGAAGCTGGGCCGGCCTGCTCTCGTGACTTGCCTGGTTTCCTGTGCAGCGACCGAGGCGTGGAGGAGGTGGGAATTATTTAGAAACGGTCAAGAAGCGAATCCCACATCCTATGAAACTGCTGCTGGTGCTGTTTTGGTTCTCTCTGCATCACACACGCACACACACACACACACACACACACACACACACAGCCTCTCTGGGCTGCGGACTGCGGAGGGGGCTTGCAGGGGGAGTTGCGGGGTGTCTGGGGATGGCGTGAGCTGGGGCAATGCCTGGGGGGGGCCGCTCCTCTGCGGGGCGCCCTGTCCAGGCAGCGCTGCGTGTTCTCCTCTGGGTCCATGCTTGATGAGGCGTGCAAGCCGCCATCAGAGTCCCGACGTGCCTTAGCAGGCGTTAAGGTTGGGAAATGAGCTTGTCAGGCCACAGAGCGTCCTGGCCCGCCCCACCCCACCCGGCCTCCCTGGAACCCACTCACCCGCCTGGAGCGAGGGGGCAGGGTGACGCAGGGTGACGGGCAGCAGGTGCAGGTGCCCCGGCGGGGAGGAAGTCAGGGTCGGAAGTAGGGTCGGTGGGAGCCCCGGGCCGCTGAGTGGGGGTGAGGTTCGGGGAAAGTGGGTGCCGGAAGTGACACTGGCCGGAAGCACAGTGAGCTGGGAGGGCCCCCCCCCCGTGTGGCCCCCAGGGCACAGCAGGTGGTTCTCTGGAGAAGGGGCCAGATGGAAGCAGCAGGCCCCGGCAGGGAGGGCCCGGCGTGGACGGCAGCGTGGCTGGGACGAAGGTGCCTCCGCGGTAGGCACTTGCCATCAGGCTACAGGGGAACATGTCGGGGGCTGGCAGACAAGTCACGTCGGGGGGAGCCGGGCTGGGCGGGGCCTGGCAGGGCCCTGGGGCGGGCAGGGAGGCGGTGCGGGTCCCCTGTGGGCGCCCGTCTTGTGGGACCTGGCATGGGGGGGCTTGGGCTCGTCCTGGGCTCCGCGGTGCCCTCAGGAGCTGGCCCGCAGTGCGCCATGGCCCTGCCAGAGGCTCCGGTTTCTGCACCTGCGGGCATTGCCCGCCCCTGTACCCTCCGCAATCCTGGGCCCAGCCCAGCACAGAGGCCGCAGCACATCCCCCTTCACTCGGGCCCGGGCCCGCATGGGGTGCATGCCGGCGTTGCCCGGGGCTGCGTGTGCCCCCTACCCTGCTCCCCGGCCTGGAACCTTCGAGCTCTGCGGCCAGCCTGGGGGCTCTGTGGGACCCTCAACCAGAGGCTGCGGTTCCCTGGGGGAGTCTGGGAAAAAGCCCGGGGAGGAGTGGCCCCCAGAGGTTGGGGTAGTGAGGGCAAGTGACCTCTAGTGACCCCTGGAGGCACCAGGAAACCCAGGCCAGCAGGAGGTCACCCTGTGCATGGCCTCCCGTGGGTCCATGCTCCCCCCAGGACAGAGTAGGAAGTGGGGCGGGGTCCAAGCATGTGCCTGCCATGCTGCCAGCCCTGTCTCCCCCAGACTTGGAGGCACCTGGGACACCCAGGGAACGGGGCAGCCCGGCTAGGTGCTGCAGTGTTAGTCCCCCCCATCCTGCCCGCCCCCCCCCCCTCCCGCCAACTCGGACAGAAGCCCTGGGAGAGGCCAGGCAGGGCCTGAACACGGGCCTTGGGGACCCGGGGCGCCCAGAGACGGGTGGGCTGTTTTAGCCGTGCCGCGGCCATCTGAGTGTGGAAACGCTCCTCTGGCTGCCCGGGGGGCACTGCCTGCCCCCACCCGGCCCCACTGTATGTGCGCACGTCACCCTGGAGTTGCCTCCCTCCCCTGTGCAGCTGTCCCTGTCCCCCGCCCCCCCTCCCCCGGGGCTCGGCCGTCTGCGGAGATGGATGTCAGCAGGGCAGGAGTCAGCCCCCACGCGCGTCCCCGGGGTGTGGTGGTTGTCAGAGCCTCCTCTCCTGTCTGCTCTCTGAGGGCTGTTACTGGAAGGGTCAGGTGGGAAGGGTCCCTGTTCCTGTGTGCGGGTGACCTGCTTCTGGGAGCTCCAGGAGGGCGCAGGCAGCCCAGCGTGGGGCGCTGTGGGGCTGCACCTCTGCTCAGGGCACTTCTATGGCTCCTGAGCTCTTCCACGGTCCGGGTCGCCGTCTTGAGTGACCACGATGTCTCCATGAGTGCATATGTGCTGGGACC